TCTAACCACAACAACTGCCTTCCGTGCTCTCAGAATGATCGGTTGAAATTTGTGTTGCGTGCAGCGTTCTGAGTGACGGGTCATTGTTGGGAAACATTTATTTTCAGATCTGAAAGAAAGTTGGTGATGTAAACAGGCCACTGCCGTCCAGTACCATCAGTGCTGTAAGTTCATATTGGGCCTCTAAAAATAGTCCTGTGGGCCGGATTAGGCCACATCCAGGAAGCAGACCCAGGAAGCAGACCCAGGAAGTACCCCAGGAAGTACCCTAGGAAGGAGACCTAGGAATTACCCCAGGAAGCAGACCCAGACCTGAGTCGGTAATATTTCTATGTAATTGTTTCTTTTAGGCTAAGTTGTAGAGCATTGGCCTTTGAGCCTGAAGGTCGTGGGTTCGAGCCCACCATGAGACCTACATCACGACTCCCACTGATGACTGTTGTTGTTGTGTCTTTGGGCAAGACACTTAAACCCACTTTGCCTAAAAGGAGCGTGGAGCTGCCTTGATGTGTTCTTCTTCTTCTTCTTCTTCTTCTTCTACTTCTTCTTCTTCTACTTCTTCTACTTCTTCTTCATCTCCATCTTCATCTTCATCTTCTTCTTCTTCTTCTTCTTCTTTGTGTTTTGTGAAAGGGGACAGTGTAAAAAGAAGAAGAAGGTCCTTTAGTGGTCTCTCAGTTGAACATCTCAGTTTGATGAATACACATGAACACATCAAGGCAGCGAACATTACTTCTGCTCTCCTGATGAGCAAAGGGGATAAAGTTTCTTGCCCATGGACACAACAACAGCAGACATCAGTGGAAATCGGTGGAGAAGGTCTGTGGTTTCGAACCCACGACCTTCAGGCTCATAGCCCAATGCTCTACCAACCTTCAGACACTCCTAAACCCATTTCTAATTATTTGACCCATTTACAAAACACGAACTTGATCTGAGCCAGTTTTAGAATTTGTTATTTTTTTCCCTGAATGGATCGAGCTCAGACTGACGGCCGGAGTGAGATCCCGATCCTTCTGCTCGCTGTAAACACCCAGAGTTTGGGGTTCTGAGCCCGTCGTGATAATGATGTTATTGGAGCTTGGTGCAGTGATGCGGCGCGAGAGAATGAGCTCATCTCCGGGAACGGGAAGGACGGGATTATGCAAATGAGGGAAAGGGGAGCGGGACTTCAAAGAGTCAGGAGAAGAGATGGAATTAGGCCTCCGCTAATCCCACTGGAGGAGGGAGGAAGCGAGGGAGGAGGGAGGAGGCGAGGGAGGAGGCGAGGAGGGGAGGAGGGAGGAGGCGAGGGGAGGTTCTAGTCTGATATTGGACAGTAACAGTGGTTTCTCTGGAGCCGTTTTCAAGATTCAAGATTATTCTGTTTATTCTGTTTTCTCCTGGACCCAGGATTTACTGAAAATACACAGGGCTTGCATTCTGGTCTCTTTCTGGTCTCTCTCTGCTGTCTCTGGTCTCTGTTTGGTCTCTCTATGGTCTCTCTCTCTCTGGTCTCTCTCTCTGGTCTCTCTCTGGTCCCTCTCTCTGGTCTCTCTCTGGTCTCTCTCTGGTCTTTCTCTGGTCTCTCTCTCTGGTCTCTCTCTGGTCTCTCTCTCTGGTCTCTCTCTGGTTTCTCTCTGGTCTCTCTCTGGTCTCTCTCTAGTCTCTCTCTCTGGTCTCTCTATCTGGTCTCTCTCTGGTCTCTCTGTTCTCTCTCTGGTCTCTCTCGGATCTCTCTCTCTGGTCTCTCTGGTCTCTCTCTGGTCTCTCCCTGGTCTCTCTCTGGTCTCTCTCTGGTCTCTCTCTGGTCTCTCTCTGGTCTCTCTCTCTGGTCTCTCTATCTAGTCTCTCTCTGGTCTCTCTCTGGTCTCTCTCTGGTCTCTCTCTGGTCTCTCTCTGGTCTCTCTCTCTGGTCTCTCTCTGGTCTCTCTCTGGTCTCTCTCTGGTCTCTCTCTGGTCTCTCTTTGGTCTCTCTCTGGTCTCTCTTTGGTCTCTCTCTGGTCTCTCTCTGGTCTCTCTCTGGTCTCTCTCTGGTCTCTCTCTGGTCTCTCTCTGGTCTCTCTTTGGTCTCTCTCAGGTCTCTCTCTTTGGTCTCTCTCTGGTCTCTCTCTGGTCTCTCTTTGGTCTCTCTCTGGTCTCTCTCTCTAAGTGAAGCGCTGGAGGCCATGTTGTACCCGAGAGAGTCCACTGGCCCCAAGGACACGGGAGGGACCCTGCTGCACGTGGTTTAGTTTGGTGAAGATGGTTTTCCTGTCGCCTTGTGTTTGGTCCAGTCCAATCCTCTCTCCTTGCACACATGGTTTTCAAAGTAGTTCTAGATTTTACACACATAGTTTCCTCTGTCAGCTCCTGATGTGGATCTTGGTCAGGACCAGAGCTGGAAGACACAGTGGGGCGGCTGCGGCTGTAAAGTGCCAAACTTGTTGTGTCCTTGGGCAAGACACTTCCCCCACATTAGACTGAGTCTGGTGTGTGTGTGAATGGTTGGTGGTGGTGGGAGGGGCTGATGCCTCACTTCTGTCAGTGTGCCCCAGGGCAGCTGCGTTAGAGCCATACTTTGAGCTACAATCACAAACAAAGTTGGAACCATCAAACAAAGAGGATCAAAGTCAAGGTCAAAGGTTATCTGTGTTTACTGGTGCAGCTGCAGTTGGCTGGATGATACTGTGGCCCTGGTTTTTGACGGGGGCAGCGGCAGAGGGCCACATGTGGAGCCCGACCCCCCTGATGCAGATGTGGCACCTCCTGGAGCCACAGTGTGGTGTTTGTTCTGGAAACAGCAGCGAGTCCAAAGTCTCTGAAACACATGTTTTGTTACAATCATTGTGTTTCTGCTAATAAAGCATTCAGAACTTCACTCTGAACCAGAGCAGATACAATGTTCCAAACCAAGCAGACTCTGCAGAGACGTCAGAGGAAGCAGCTCATCACCAGTGGATGCACTTTATTACTATTCTTTAGAATTGATTTAGAATATGTATTTATGTATGTTTGTTTGTCTGATGTGTTTCTGCTGCTGACACCTGCATCTCTCCAACAGGGACCATCAAGCATCTGTCTGTGGTCACATGTGTCTGTGTTCTCAGACAGACTGTTGCTGCTTTTAACTGTGGCTCAGACTGATGTTAGTTTGTGTTCACAGTAAGAATGCTTTTTTTTTTTTATTTGTTCAGTTGAAACAGTTTCTTTATTATTACTGTTGATCTTCTTTTAAAAATCACACAAATCCACAACATAAAAACTCGAGTCCGGACTAGAACCAGGAAGTACCATCACATTAGTCTGGACTAGAACCAGGAAGTACCATCACATTAGTCTGGACTAGAACCAGGAAGTACCAATACCTTTGTCCTGACTAGAACCAGAAAGTACCATCACATTAGTCCTGGTCTCAGGTCTCTGCACCTGTGGCTCAGAGAATAGACTTTAAAACAGCTCTGTTTGTTACAAGTCTCTCCATGGCCTCCTGTTGGGACTCTGAGGAGCACAGGGACTGGCCTCCTGCTGGGACTCTGAGGAGCACAAGGACTGGCCTCCTGTTGGGACTCTGAGGGGCACAGGGACTGGCCTCCTGCTGGGACTCTGAGGAGCACAGGGACTGGCCTCCTGCTGGGACTCTGAGGAGCACAGGGACTGGCCTCCTGCTGGGACTCTGAGGAGCACAGGGACTGGCCTCCTGCTGGGACTCTGAGGAGCACAAGGACTGGCCTCCTGCTGGTCCCAGATTCAGGGCTAAACATGAGGAGGCAGTATTTCAGATTTTTGCATCTAAAACCTGGAACATTCATTCATTCATTTTCTTCCCCTTTATTAGTCCATTTCTGGGTCGGGGGGGACCATCAGAGCTGCACCCAAGTCTCAAAGCACCAGTCCCTCTGATCCTCTGCAGGGGGTGGGTCCACAGGAAGATGCTGCTCCGTTAGTGGTGCCACAGCCTTGGTGTTTCAGCGGGAGCCTCAGGCAAAGTGGGGTTAAGTGTCAGTGGGTTAACGACAGCAGACATTAGTGGGAGCAGTTGGAGTAGGACTAAGACCTTCGGGCCCAGAGGCCAATGCCCTACCAACTGCCAACACCTGTGCCTCACAGCAACGAGGTCCTGGGTTTGAGTCCACCTCCAGGCCTTTCTGTGTGGAGTTTGCATGTTCTCCCTGTGTCTACGTAGGTTTCCTCCAGTTTCACCTACCATTAAAACATGTACCATAGGTCTGTGCCTCCTGGAGGAGAGACACATGTACCATAGGTCTGTGCCTCCTGGAGGAGAGACACATGTACCATAGGTCTGCGCCTCCTGGAGGAGAGACACATGTACCATAGGTCTGTGCCTCCTGGAGGAGAGACACATGTACCATAGGTCTGTGCCTCCTGGAGGAGAGACACATGTACCATACTGTAGGTCTGCGCCTCCTGGAGGAGAGACACATGTACCATAGGTCTGCGCCTCCTGGAGGAGAGATACATGTACCATAGGTCTGTGCCTCCTGGAGGAGAGACACATGTACCATAGGTCTGTGCCTCCTGGAGGAGAGACACATGTACCATGGGTCTGTGCCTCCTGGAGGTGATCTGCTCCTTCTCTTTGTGGAGTGAGTCACTGTAACCCATTGGAACCTGGAACAGTCTTCCTGAAAACATGAGACAAGTTCTTCTTTGACATTGTTTACATTCAGGTTAAAAACAGTTTCTGTTTCTGCAACAACTGAAAGATTATATTCTAGCTCCTTATGTACGGTGTTATTTTAATGTTTGTGATTTTGATATTTCTTTTCATTATGAACTGCAAGTAAGTAAGTCATATTTATTTATATGGCACCTTTCACAGAGTCTCAAAGCACTTTACAATAGTTACATGTGTCTCTCCTCCAGGAGGCGCAGACCTATGGTACGTGTCTCTCCTCCAGGAGGCGCAGACCTATGGTACATGTGTCTCTCCTCCAGGAGGCGCAGACCTATGGTACATGTGTCTCTCCTCCAGGAGGCGCAGACCTATGGTACATGTGTCTCTCCTCCAGGAGGCGCAGACCTATGGTACATGTTTTAAGGGTAGGAGAAACTGAAGGGGAACCTACGTGGACACAGGGAGAACATGCAAACTCCACACAGAAAGGCCTGGAGGTGGATTCAAACCCAGGACCTCGTTGCTGTGAGGCACAGGTGCTAACCACGTGCCCACCCAAAACTGTGACTTTTTGTATGAAAAGTGTTCTACAAATAAAGATAGTTTGATTGAGACATGTACTTTTGAACTGGGATGTGTTGTTGATATTTCATGGACCAGTGTTTGTCAGTCTGTGGCGCCCTCCTGTGGTAATGAGTGGAACTGACACAATGCATTTCAAATTCCACTCATCATGTTTATTCTGAAAAGATTAATTTCTATCATTCACATCCAGAGACAATGCAGAGACAGAGACAATGGTCCCAACCAAGCGGCTCCACCTCTGCTGCTGTGACCTGTCCTGCTCCACCCAGGGGCTACTCCACCTCTGCTGCTGTGACCTGTCCTGCTCCACCCAGGGGCTACTCCACCTCTGCTGCTGTGACCTGTCCTGCTCCACCCAGGGGCTACTCCACCTCTGCTGCTGTGACCTGTCCTGCTCCACCCACAGGCTACTCCACCTCTGCTACTGGGACCTGAAGGGCTGCTGGATGTTATTATTATTGTTAGATACTTTCAGAATGATGTATTTATGTGTTTTGTTTGTTTGAAAGGATGTGTTTCTGCCGCTTCTGAACACCTGCATTACTCCTGGATCAATAAAAAATATTCAAAATACTTATTCATTCTATTCATAATTTAAAAATAATAAAATCCCTTGTGTTCTTTCGGCCCCTGACCCCAGTGAGTTTGACACCTGATCTATATGACGTCGTGATGGTTCAAAAGTCGGCTCGTGACGGCCTGTTTTACACTGAACAGCGCCCCCTAGTGTCATCAGCAGCCGCTTTTCTAATCTGCCTGCAGTCCATCATGAAGTCCACCTCTGTGACCCGGGAATGACGCCGCAGACAGACGCAGTGTGACAGAGTTTATTGTGGAAAGCACAGACCACAGCAGAATGATTCCTACAAAAGTGACGTCCCAGCATGCACCTGGAACCTGTGTTGCCATGGCGTCTAAAACACAAGTGTTTATTTTATTTATTCACAACACAACATTTGGTTTGAATCAGTGTCACAGACTTTAGTGACAGAAGTAGAACGCAAATAAATACATTTCTTACTGATAATAATATATTCAAGTTTATATTCAAGACATTTATAAAGTGGGTTTCAAACTTTAAATACACTTTGCAATATTTTATTTGTGATTTTTTTACTTAAAGACCATAACAAAATGACTTTAAAGGGGAAAAAAATATTTAATAACAAAACCTGAAAAGTGGAGCCTGCAAAAGTGACTTGAGTAGATAGAACCTCCACCTCCAGCAGCTTTCTACCAACTCTGACCCTCTCTCTGTCCCTACTGAAGAAAAGCAGCCCCACAACATGATGCTACCACCCCCATTTTGAGCCAAAATATCCTTCTAACTGTCGAGTGCCTCCCGATCGTCTCCCTTTCGTTGTAAAGCCCGGGTTTGTGTTTTTCACGATTCCTAGGTGCTCCTGTACAGAGTAGAGCAGTGAATGTCTGCAGCTCCTCCTGAGTAACCATGGGCCTCGTGTCTGCGATCAGTGTGGTCCTTGACAGACAGCTGAGTCTGGGTAGATTTGCAGTTGTGTCAAACTCTTTCCATTCCAGTGCTCTGTGAAGCTTTGGAAATGTTTGTAAAACTTCACCTTCACTTTTCAAGAAGCTAAAATCTGGAACAGTCTTCCTGAGAATGTGAGACAGGCTTCTTCTCTGGCAGCGTTTCAAATTTAGGTTGAAAATAGTTTTATTTCAGCAACTGAGGGATTTTGTCTTCACTCTTCTTAGTGTACTCTGATTATTTATGCCTTGTGTATGAACTGTGCTATATAAATACACTTTCCTCATGCTAACCCCACTTTTCAGGTAACATTTATGTCATTTTGTTTCACAGTTTTGTCTCACTCTGTTGTGGTCTTTTGGTTAAAAAAAAACAACAAAAAAACCCACAACTTTTTTGCTCTGAGATGATGATTCGATTCAAAGCCAAAAACCAAAAATCACTTTCACGGATCCACCTTTAACAAACTCTAATTTTTATTATTTATGTACTTTCGTAGTGACTCGGTGTGAGACCAAAAGCCTGGAGTGAAACACTGACATTCAAATGAGTAACAACTTTTCATATTCATATAAATACAACTCAATAAGAGCGAGCAGCAGTGACATGAGGCGGTTAGAAACAAAACGATTTAGGCTGAAGTTTGGTCTCAAAAATACAATCACTATTCAATAATAATGGCGTGAAAAGTGCAAATTATTACTAAAAATATAAAGCAGGCAAACACAGTTGAAAAATAGAATAATTCAGGCATAATGAATGTTATGCAATCATATAGAATCACATCGTTGTAAACATGGCGACAGTGGAGCAAAGCAAGCGATGTATCGATCAAAGTTACCCAATGTAACCGCAGTTCTATGAGTTGATATACTTTTACTATACAGGCAGTGACGTACACACATGGTCGGATATAGTTCTTAATTAATTTTTTTCTTATTCGTGTATAAAAATGGTGTTGAAAAATGTTGCTATCAAACTGCACTACTTGTAAATGAGCGTGTTGTATATAAATTGTTTTTCTTCAGTCATGTTCGCGCGCACTGAAACAGTGCGTGAACAAATGAGGAATGAGAGGTTGAAGGACAGTTGTATATCAAGCATGAAATCTCAGTCTCTTATTGCACAAGGGTTTTCTAATCACCTTTCGTTAAAGCAATGTTACAAAATGCACTAAAAGCAGAGAAACCATGAAATACCGCCTTAAATAATTCTTCATATAATACTTAATATATTACCGCAATTTCCAGACTGCTGCCTAATTCTAGTTCTTTTATCCCTGCGGCTTATATAGCAATTGGCTGATATGTATATTAGCCGCTACGCTAACCCAAATATTAGCTGTTAGTTGGATTTCCTCTTTTCTATAATGTAAAAAGCAATGATATATATTTTTGTGTGATATAAAGTATCTGCCATCAAACATAATACAGCTCTCTGAACACAGAAAGTATAACAGTCCCGAACGTCCAAAGAACACGGTACGTCTCCTTTAAGTGTCCTTGTATTGGGACTCATTCTGCTCACAAAACAGGCACAGGATCGACACAGTCAGAATCTACACTGTAAGAATCTACACTATTAGAATCTACACTGTCAGAATCCACAGTCAGAATCTACACTGTTAGAATCTACACTGTCAGAATCCACAGTCAGAATCTACACTGTTAGAATCTACACTGTCAGAATCTACACTGTCAGAATCTACACTGTCAGAATCTACACTGTTAGAATATACAGTCATAATCTACACTGTTACCATCAACAATCAGAATCTACACTGTTAGAATCCACTGCCAGAATCAACAATCAGAATGTACTGTCAGAATCTACACTGTCAGAATCTACACCTCCACATTCTACAATCAGAATCAACAATTATAATCTACACTGTTCAAATCTACATTGTTAGAATCTACACTGTAAGAATCTACACTGTTAGAATCTACACTGTTAGAATGTATAGTCAGAATCTGCACTATTCATATCAACAATCAGAATCTACACTGTTAGAATCCACCGCCAGAATCAACAATCAGGATGTACAGTCAGAATCTACACTGTCAGAATCTACACCTCCACATTCTACAGTCAGAATCAACAATTAGAATATACACTGTTAAAATCTACACTGTTCAAATCTACACTGTTCAAATCTACACTGTTAGAATCTACACTGTCAGAATCTACAGTCAGAATCTACACTGTTAGAATCTACAGTCAGGATCTACACTGTTAGAATCTACAGTCAGAATCTACACAGTCATAATTAGAATGTACAGTCAGAATCGAGGCCATTATTGCTTTGGATCAGCGGCGTTCAGAAAGCAAGACATTCAAAATAAATGTGTGTAAACAGTTCATAACAAAAACAATCTTTGAAAGTAGCCACTGAGTGTGATGTCACAACACGTCTCTGTGCTGATTGGATGAAAACATGTGAAGCACAATCAGAGAAACTACAGCTGATTCTTTTTTGTACATTTCAGTTCTGCGCTGTCTTTGCAGTTGGTAAAAATAGAAATGTTTTGGTGAGCAGTGCATTCATTGGACCTCTGGGAAAAGAAATATATATAAATAAAAAATAATTAAAGCCCCAATTTGGCTTTGTTCTTTAATCAAATAATTTGATTTATTATTTACAACTATTATTTTGTAACTGCGATTGTGACTTTAATTGAATTGTTGTGAGTCAGTGGAGCCCCCTCGCCTCCCTCTGAGAACTCTCCAGGACCCCACTTTGTAAAGCACCGGTGTAATGGTAATGCATGGGCACAGACCTTGAACAGTCGAGGGGTCCTTCACCTTGGCTCGCATCAGCAGAGACCAGACTGAGGCTCAGTACTTCTTCTCGTTAGAGGTAGTCGATGAATGCAGCTGAGGCTTAAATATAATGTTTATTCTGAATATAAAATGTTTGTCTGGATCTAGTGTAGGTAAATAAACCAGTGGGTAATTTAATTATGTAGAACAAACAGATTTCTAACTACGCTGATTGTAACGAGACGACTTTAAGGGAGTGATATTTTCATTACATTTGGCAAACGACACATTCAATTATAATTATAATGAGCAAAGCACTTTCTACAGAAGCGGTTCCCTGCTGCCTTCTCAACACAGCAACACAACAACACTGAGAGCAACACAACTGAGAGAAACACAACTGAGAGCAACTCAACTGAGAGAAACTCAACTGAGAGAAACTCAACTGAGAGAAACTCAACTGAGAGAAACTCAACTGAGAGAAACTCAACTGAGAGGAACTCAACTGAGAGGAACTCAGGTGACGCTGGTGACTGAGGCAGAGGGCAGTGGGCTGAGTGTGCTGACAATGGCAGTGACATGGGATGTGTGAGTGTGCATAGAGTGTGTGTTTAGTGTGTGTGTGTGTGTGTGTATTTAGTGCGTGTTTAATGTGTGTACAATGTGTATGTGTGTGTGTCATTATTATTATCAGTAGTCTGGTGTATCATGGTGCTTATAGCCAAAGCTGATTTGCAGCATTTCTCTCTATTGTGTATAGTGTGCGTGTGTGTATGTGTTTGTACAGAGTCTGTGTGTGTGTTTGAGTGTGTAGTGTATATATGTGCATATAGTGTATATTATATACATTTTTAAAGTGTGTGTTCAGAGGGTGACCAGCCTCAGGTCCTCTGCAGTGTAGTTTATACTGTATATGTGTGTAGTGTGTGTATTGTGTATATATGTGTGTAGAGTGTGTGTAGCGTGTGTATAGTGTGTGTTCAGAGGGTGACCAGCCTCAGGTCCTCTTTGGTGTAGTGTATATATGTGTATGATGTGTGTAGTGTGTGTGTGTTCAGAGGGTGACCAGCCTCAGGTCCTCTGCGGTGTAGTGTATGTGTGTGTAGTATGTGTGTAGTGTGTGCTCAGAGGGTGACCAGCCTCAGGTCCTCTGCGGTGTAGTGTATGTGTGTGTAGTATGTGTGTAGTGTGTGTTCAGAGGGTGACCAGCCTCAGGTCCTCTGCGGTGTAGTGTATGTGTGTGTAGTGTGTGTGTAGTGTGTGTTCAGAGGGTGACCAGTCTCAGGTCCTCTGCGGTGTAGTGTATGTGTGTGTAGTGTGTGTTCAGAGGGTGACCAGTCTCAGGTCCTCTGCGGTGTAGTGAGGACACAGAGCGGCCTCCGGACTCTGCAGCTGCTTCTCCATCTTTCTCTGGAACTTGGAGCGAATCCTGTTGAACTCCATGATGTCACTGGGATCCTCCTCCAGCCAGAAGTGATGGAACTCCTGCATCAGGAAGCCTGAGGGGCGGGGCCACATGATAGAAAGGGGAGGGGCCACAGGTTAGAGAGTGGGTTTTGTGTGTGGGTGTGCCTGTGTGAGTGTGTGTATGTGTATGTGTATGTGCATGAGTATGTGTGTGTGTGTGTGTGTGTGTCTGTTTGTGTTTGTGTCTGTATGTGTGTGTGTGTCTGTTTGTGTGTGTGTCTGTATGTGTGTGTGTCTGTTTGTGTGTGTGTGTGTGTTGTCGCTCACAGAAGGTCTGCTGGAAGTGTTGCAGGTTCCCCGCCTCTGGAGCCACGTTGTACATGTGCGTCTTCAGAGCTCCACTGAGCAGCAGAGAGTAGGTCAGCTCCGTGATGTTGATGCCCACAATGGCAAACGAGAACCTGCCACACAGGAACTGTTACCGAGGGGGGAGGGAGGTGGGAGGGAGGGGGGAGGAGGGAGGTAGAACCAGAGTCTTTGCTGCAGCCGCCCCCACTCTCTGAAACTCACTCACTACAGAACTTTAAATCTCACCTGTTTCAGCTTTTCCTAAATTTTGTTTTTCAATGATTATGTTTATGTGTTTTATAAAGTGTCATTGAGTGTCCAGAAAAGCGTTATATAAGACGTGTTATTATTTATTATTAACACAGCAGATGTTAGGATGCTGAGGGAGGAGGGGGAGGAGAAGGTGGACACCGAAAGACCTGTGAGACTCTTAAAGAACCAACATAATGTAATGTGTGTAAGCAAATAAAAATAAAAATAAAAATAAAAGCAAAAAATAAAAATAAAAAAAAAATAATAATAATAATTTGTACCTTTTAAGTAAATTGATGTAACTCTAAGCTAGTAAAAGTAAGGTAAGGCAGTTTGAATTAGAGCAGGTAAGGTTAGTTAGTAGGTAATAGAATAGGTATCTAGGGTAATATGTATAGGTTACTAATGTATTTTTGTTTTCTTATATTGTGTATTGTCTTGGGCCCCATATATAAGCTAAATGTTGCTTCAAGGGTGTCCCGTTTATGAATATGCACTATCATCTATAAATGGATGTTAAAATGTTTTTTACTGTATATTTGTAATAAACTGAACTGAACTGAACTGAACTGAACTGAACATGATAAAGGGTTCTCTTGGCTGGACCACGGTGGCTATAAGTGGGTGGTTTGCTCTTCACCCTGTGTCCCTGTCTCAGTCCTGGGTCTACAGCCTCAGTCCTGGGTCTACAGCCTCAGTCCTGGGTCTACAGCCTCAGTCCTAGGTCTACAGCCTCAGTCCTGGGTCTACAGCCTCAGTCCTGGGTCTACAGCCTCAGTCCTAGGTCTACAGCCTCAGTCCTGGGTCTACAGCCTCAGTCCTGGATCTACAGCCTCAGTCCTAGGTCTACAGCCTCAGTCCTGGGTCTACAGCCTCAGTCCTGGGTCTATAGCCTCAGTCCTAGGTCTACAGCCTCAGTCCTGGGTCTATAGCCTCAGTCCTAGGTCTACAGCCTCAGTCCTGGATCTACAGCCTCAGTCCTGGGTCTACAGCCTCAGTCCTGGGTCTACAGCCTCAGTCCTGGATCTACAGCCTCAGTCCTGGAGGTCCTCAGAGAAACTACTGTTGTATTTTAGGGCGATACTCAAATAAATTGGATTGATAACATGACTACAGCTGTTTCACTCCTGACACTCACCCAATGGCCTTGTCCAAGCTTTTCTTCTCCCACTCAGCCTTGTCCAGCTCACTGCAACACATACACACACTTAGAACACACACTACAACACTCACACACTTAGAACACATACTTCAACACACTGTGACACACACACACACTAAGAGCACGGTCACATAGGTTTTTACAAATGAACTGGGCCAAGTGGCCCGGACCGTCACCACAGGGGTGTGAAAACGGCCCGCGGTCACATGAACGTGTTGTCTGAAACCGTGCCAGGGAAACTGTGCTGTTGTACAGCGCTTGGTCCAGCTGGTGGCGCTAATACTAACACCAGCGACTACCTTCCTGGTTGAGTTTCCGTTCCTTGTCCTGTTTACGCTCTGCGACTGTAGCTAACAGCGACTGTAGCTAACTGCGACTGTAGCTAACAGCGACTGTAGCTAACGGCGACTGTAGCTAACAGCGACTGTAGCTAACTGCGACTGTAGCTAACAGCGACTGTAGCTAACAGCAATTGTAGCTAACTGCGACTGTAGCTAACTGCGACTGTAGCTAACAGCTCAGTATGGATCTTGTGGTTTAGGGAAAGATACATCTCACACTTGTCCACATTTCTCTGATGCAAAGTGCAGCAGTTCAGTGGGTGACGTGTGTGTGTGTGTATATGTGTGTGTGTGCGTGTGCGTGTTTGCACAGGCAGAATATAAGTGTGTGTGTGTGTATATGTGTGTGTGTGCATGTGCGTGTTTGCGTGTTTGCGTGCGTGTGTGTGTGTGTGTAAGCCGCGGACGCCTCTTTATTAACGAGCGGGCTGAGAAATGAATGAATGAGAATGAAAGAATGAAAAGTGTGGCGTACGAGCAGAGCGACCGGAGACAGGCAGAAGATAAGTGTGTGTGTGTGTTCTGGCGATTAAATAAAGACTGATTCTTGAATGTTTGATCCGGGGCTTATATTAAAGGTTTCACACAAGCAGAGAATACAAAAGTGCAGGAGAGACGTCTTTGAAAATGCCCGTCACAACAGAAGACGTAATGTGTCGCACAATATCAAGTCCCCATCGCACCTCTTCCCCCACCCCCCACCCTCCACACTGCAACCGTGCTTCAGCACACTTGTAGCAAATGTGTCAAAGCCCACTTGCCGCAGTCACATAGCACCTAAAAAGCCAGGATCAAATCGCGAAGTGGGCCCTGGCCCACTTAAACCAGGCTTTAGGCTGCGCATGTGACCGCAACCTCAAACACACATTCACTACAACACTCTGTATGACACACACACACACTAAAATACAAACTAAAGATAAAGATAACTAAAACACTGGATGTGAGCGACAATGAAAGAAAGAATCTGTCTATGAGTCATGAAGGAGGCGGGTAGTACATTTACTCACAGTGTTAGGATTAGATACTGTAGCTATGGCCTACAAGACTCTAAAAGGACTCTGATGATGCATCTATGTTATGACTACGATTTACTCTGTCTCTGTTTGACACGTACTGTATGTCTTTAGATGACTATAAAACCATGTCTTGACTTTTGCTCTGTCTGAATCAACTGCCATTTTTGTGAATAAACAACCAAGCTGGATGCACAGGATCCCAGTATGTCTAAGTCTGATTTCCAACAATACTACAGTCTGTCAGTAGAACAGTACTCTTACTAGAGTCTGACAGCACCTCCATCCCTTCACTGATAGTATTCTTACTTCTATGGTTCCACTCATTCCATCTCCAACATTTACAAAGTAAACCTTCCCTCGTCTCTTTGGGGGTGCCTCAAGCTGCAGTACTCGGCCCCCTCCTCTTGATAACCCACTTATTCATAACCCATACCTCTTTGGAATAGTCTTTTGTCATTTTAACATAAACTTTTAACATACTGCAAGTTTACTCTTTGACAATACAAGATATTTTTTGTGTTTTAATTCAAAGACATTCAAAGAAAACATAAAAATGGCATTCATTATTTTAACAGTAACTATCGCTGCCTCTAAAACACCTACTTTCACGACTGATGCTGGTGATTATTACGACCAATTATAATGAAATCCAGGCCACCTCTGATCCATGGTTGGCAGAATGTTGTTGAAAAATGAGCGTTTTTGTCAAAGCAGATGAAATTAAATGGAATATTGCTCGGATTGGTAAAACGAAAAGCCAATAACTATGGACCAAACCGACACCGTGGTAAGAGTTGGTAAGAGAGACATTAACACATCTATACATGCTAACAAATGTTATCACATTAGCTTATTAGCATTTATTATTGATCCAAGAGTGAGACTGGAGCATATTTACTTTGACAGTTTTGGAAAGTAAAAGTATTTCAAAATGGCTTCACTTACCATTTCTTACCACAGCACAACAATCTCCACACACACAAACACACACACACACGCACAAAGCAGAAGTGAATGGATGAATGGTACCTGTGCCTGCAGTGCAAAAGCATGCATCGCCGTGGAGACGCAGAGAGACAGAGACACAGCAGAGGTCAGAGAGTGGCCTGAGCTATGGTGAGGTTAGAGTGACATGTGAGGCAGATGATGAGGATGAGGAGGAGGAGGAGGACGTACTTGTGTTTGGGCTGAAGGGAGTCGTTGAGCATCTGGAGAGCTGTGGTTTTGTCGTGCTCCGCGAAATACCTGAAGAAGAAAAGATGTACATTTGTCCATCTCTAACCCCGGTCGCAGTTACTATGGTTACAGTTAGTTACTTTGATGGTTCTTAAAGTAGCAATATGTAAGATGTTAATGTCCTGTCATCATTAAAGGGCCCTAATCTGTCATCATTAAAGGGCCCTAATCTGTCATCATTAAAGAAGCTATACCCGATTTTTTTTCTAAGTAGTTCATAAAAATGCTTTTTACTACATACAAGTTGTATCATAATACATAATTTAATTGAAAACTTGAGGTCATTGATTATGAAATTCAGGCAGTGAAAAGTGCTGAGTAGAGTCTGAGCGGGACGTTCGTTCTCCTCCGCTCACAGAACGAGCAGCGAACAGCCTGCGTCCTCTAGCCCCTACAGCGCTGCTTAACACCAGGGCTTCCACTTCAAAATTTGTATATAATTCTAAAATTAAAAATATATATATATTCAAACAAATATTAGACAGCCCTTATAATTCGAAATATATTTAATGACTACAAATAAAATAGTTACTGTAGCTCCCAAAGGTTTCACCGGGACGTGCTAGGCAGGTAACAGCTAAGCTAGCTAGCTGTTTCATGGTAACTTCCGGGTTTCTCGCAATCGCTTTTTGTCACTTTAAAACAGTATTTTTGTCATGAAAACGTTGACAGCAAATTCTGAAATCGTCCGTGCATGTGTGTTAAGGATGTATATGTATACTGTATTGTCCGATTGACGTTTAATGGTGTTGATTGATTGACATGTATTTGTTTATTGAGCGTGGCTAGCTGCGCTAGCTCCGTTGGCTTCTCTACACAGACAAGTGTGCAGAGAAACTGCACAGTGTAGTGACAGGCGCTGATAGCTTGTTGTACTTGCAGAGTAATGGCAGTATTTTACACACCTGAATTACAAACAGAGATTGCATTGGGGCTGCGGTCATTATTGGTTTGAGAGTTCTGTTATCAAGAAAAAATTATCGGAAGAATTGCATTCAAGTCAATGGAGTGTTCTACTGCTGCTGTGAAGAGCTGTATAATAAATTATAATTAAATATTAGAATATATTCTAATGTTTAAATTAATACATCCGGACGCGAAACTAATGGTATTCTTTTACTTATATATTGTGTTAGCAGTGTGTTGCTTTAGTACCATTGCCAATGTTAGCATACGTATCAGATTGCAAATAAAACTAGGTGGCTCTGTGTTATGAGAGCGTAGGGGAAATGAGAAGCCTGTGAGCGAGTTGGGGGGCGGTGCTAAACATTCAAACATTGCAGAAACGGGTATAGCGCCTTTAAAGGGCCCTAATCCGTCATAATAATAAACTGCTCTTTTCCAATACTTCTTTAACTGATAACAGTAGTTCAGAGATATTTGAATTTCTAAATTAGTTTTGCAGCCCCTAAATGTTGTTATTGTTTTCATTTTGATGTCCCGTCCTCCACCGTTTCACCAATCAGAAAGTCTGTGATCCGGGCGCCAGAACTCACCACGTGGAGCTAATCTCACTGGTAAAGTACCATGTGGCGCAGAACTAAAAAAGGTCTGGTTATGATTCTCAAATCATTAACAACAAAACAAGGAATAAAACCAGGATTACTATCTTTGTGAAAAAGGTGTTGGTTATAGATTTGTTGTTGACAAGACGCTTGTCTATTCAGCTGTTATGGTCCCAGCTGGATTCGTCTGCATATCTGGCAACCTGAGTCAGGAAGAGGGGGAGATATTTTTGGCCAGATTTTTAACATACTGCTAACTGCTGTAGGACTCAGACCCTGTTGGACTCAGACCCTGTTGGACTCAGACCCTGTTGGACTCGGACCCTGTTGGAGTCAGACCCTGTTGGACTCAGACCCTGTAGGCCCCGTGGGTGATGTCACACTCACAGCAGGTTGCTCAGCCCCAGCAGGCCCATCCCTCTGAAGTCGGTCTTGGGGTCGCTGCCCTGGAAGCCGATCTCGCACCACTGTTTGGAAATGCGGCTGTGGAGGGGGGAGTCAGGACGCAGCTCCTTCCACAGCTGCAGGGGGAGGAGCCAGACACGTCAATCAGTACAGGGGGAGGAGCCAGACACATCAATCAATACAGGGGGGAGGAGCCAGAGAGAGACTAGAGAGAGGGACCAGAGAGAGAGAGGCCAGAGGGAGAGAGGCACCAGAGAGAGAGGTCTGTGCTCACCTGCAGTAGCATGGTCTCGTGTTGTTGGTTCTCGCAGTCGTAGGCCTCTCTGCGGAGCTTCTCCACCTGCACCAGCAGAGCCCTGTACCCCACAATCTGCAGGAGGCTGCTCTGGAGCGAGATGGCGAGTCTGGAGAGAGAGAGACACAGCCTGAGATCAGAGACTGGGGAGAGCGAAAGACAACCTGAGGTCAGAGAGTCTAGAGAGAGAGAAACACAGCCTGAGGTCAGAGAGTCTAGAGAGAGAGAAACACAGCCTGAGGTCAGAGAGTCTGGAGAGAGAGAAAAACAGCCTGAGGTCAGAGAGTCTAGAGAGAGAGAAACACAGCCTGAGGTCAGAGAGTCTAGAGAGAGAGAAACACAGCCTGAGGTCAGAGAGTCTGGAGAGAGAGAAAAACAGCCTGAGGTCAGAGAGTCTAGAGAGAGAGAAACACAGCCTGAGGTCAGAGAGTCTGGAGAGAGAGAAAAACAGCCTGAGGTCAGAGAGTCTGGAGAGAAAGAAAAACAGCCTGAGGTCAGAGAGTCTGGAGAGAGAGAAAAACAGCCTGAGGTCAGAGAGTCTGGGGAGAGAGAAACACAGCCTGAGGTCAGAGAGTCTAGAGAGAGAGAAACACAGCCTGAGGTCAGAGAGTCTAGAGAGAGAGAAACACAGCCTGAGGTCAGAGAGTCTAGAGAGAGAGAAACACAGCCTGAGGTCAGAGAGTCTAGAGAGAGAGAAACACAGCCTGAGGTCAGAGAGTCTAGAGAGAGAGAAACACAGCCTGAGGTCAGAGAGTCTGGGGAGAGAGAAACACAGCCTGAGGTCAGAGAGAGAGAAACAATGTTGGATGTTGGTTCTTTCCAAGCCCCGGTGATCCAAGATGGCGCCCTATTCAAATAAATGGCCTGTGCTCAGTGGCTCATGGGACTTCACGGGGAACGGGAGATTAGCAGAACTCGCCCATATTTGGGCATCGTCTGGTCCGCCCGGTTCTGCGCAGTGGATGAGCTCCCATGATGCTTTGCGCCAAATAAGCGTGTGTGGCTGATTTCTGACCAATCAGAGGGCAACTTTCTGTCTGTGTGTCTGTGTGTTTGTGTGTGTGCGTGTGTGTGTGTGTGTGTGTGTGTGTGTGTGTGCGTGTGTGTCTCACTGTGGGTTTGTGTCTGGGTTGATCTTCTTCAGAGCCATGATGTCATCGATGGTTTTCTCCACTTTGTCACAGTGAACGCTGAGAGCAGACTGCAGCAGCTGCACACACACCAGAGAAGCATCAAGGACCAGGACCAGGACCAGGAACAGGACAGGATCTTCATAGTAATAATAATGCATCGGTTTTATACAGCACTTTTTTGGACACTCAAAGATGCGTCACATTATTTATTCACTCACCATTCACACACACACCAGACTCATTCTATGCCCGCTGTGGCACCTGGTGTTCCCAGAGGTCAGACATCAGTGGGAGTCGGTGGAGAAAGTCTCATGGTGGACTTGAACCCATGACCCTCAGGCTCAAAGGCCAATGCTCTACAACTGAGCCACTGTGGCCCTGAAGCAGAGGTAGAGGTGTGTTTAAATCTTATTGAACCTTGAGATGTCGTTTGGTGTTTCTTGGAAACAATCCATAATCACCTCTTTGGTCCATACCATTATCGTGACTTTGAAGAGAACGACTTTGTTTTTTACTTTTGCTCAGTCTCAGACACGAGATCACATAAACAGGCTGAGATCACATAAACAGCCTGAGATCACATAAACAGCCTGAGATCACATAAACAGGCTGAGATCACATAAACAGACTGAGATCACATAAACAGGCTGAGATCACATAAACAGACTGAGATCACATAAACAGCCTGAGATCACATAAACAGACTGAGATCACATAAACAGCCTGAGATCACATAAACAGCCTGAGATCACATAAACAGCCTGAGATCACATAAACAGCCTGAGATCACATAAACGGACTGAGATCACATAAACAGACTGAGATCACATAAACAGACTGAGATCACATAAACAGACTGAGATCACATAAACAGGCTGAGATCACATAAACAGACCGAGATCACATAAACAGACTGAGATCACATAAACAGACCGAGATCACATAAACAGACTGAGATCACATAAACGGGCTGGGTTAGGGTTAGAGCAGAAACATAGCGTCTGACAGAGGTCGACACTCACCTCATGCTTCGAGAACTTCAGCGACGATTCTGAAACATCCAAGAGAAAAGCCTAAGTTACTTTGAAACCATGGAATTGAACCCAGGACCTTCTTGCTGTGAGGCCTGAGTGCTAACTGAGTGCTAGCTGTGACACTTTCCCGTTTAAACTAAAAACATGTGCCATAGGTCTGTGCCTCCTGTACTGGGTTTGTGTCTGTGGCAGATGAAAGTGAAAGTGAAAGTGACGTGCCGATGGCAAGCGTGCGGCGAGCCTCGGGTTTGTGTCTGTAGCAGATGAAAGTGAAAGTGAAAGTGACGTACCAATGGCGAGCGTGCGGCGAGCCCCGGGTTTGTGTCTGTAGCAGATGCGCTGCAGCTCACAGCGTCCGGTCAGTTTCCTCAGGACACACTTCAGTCCTCTCCATAGGACTTTACAGTACAGGAAGAGCAGCAACTGACTCAGGGCTCTGACACACACACAAAGACACACCCACACACAGAGACACACACAGAGATACAAAGAGAGACACGCAGAGAGAGACACACACACAGAGAGACACACACAGAGACACACAGAGACACACAGAGGGAGAGACACGCAGAGAGAGACACACACACAGAGAGACAGAGAGAGACAGGCAGAGGGAGACACACACACAGAGAGACACAGAGAGAGACAGGCAGAGGGAGACACACACACAGAGAGACACAGAGAGAGACAGGCAGAGGGAGACACACACACAGAGAGACACAGAGAGAGTGAGAGACACACACACACAGACAAACACAGAGACACACAGAGAGAGAGAGAGAGAGACACACAGAGAGAGACACACACACACACACACACACAGTTAGTGAGTCAGAACAATGATGACATCAGTTTTATACTTTGTTTTGTGAGCGCTCAAAGAAGTCTGTCGTCTACATCAGACATGTCCAACCTCAGGCCAACTGAGGCCCTCTGTGCCTCTATATGGCCCTCTGCTATATGGCCCTCTGCTAACACAAAGTCACCATTGAGGCCCTTTGACAGTGTCATCCAACCAACTTCAGCTCCACCAATACTGTCATGCTACACCTTGTTGTAAACCTCAGACCCTCTGGAATCCACTTGTTTACTTTGTTGTTATTTACAGACATTTGTTTATGTTTGTGTCTCACCAATCAACATGCATCTGTGGATCCATGAGAACCAATCAACATGCAGCTGTGGATCCATGAGAACCAATCAGAACTAATTTAACTACCAGGTCAGTCTGATGAACTAATGTGGCCCTCTTACTAAAGACTTTGGACACCCCTGGTCTACAGACACATGTACAGACACAGGTACAGACACAGTACAGCCACAGGTACAGACACAAGTACAGACACAGACACAGGTACAGACACAGGTACAGACACTGGTACAGACACAGGTACAGACACAGGTACAGACACAGTACAGACACAGGTACAGACACAGTACAGACACAGGTACAGACACTGGTACAGACACAGTACAGCCACAGGTACAGACACAGACACAGGTACAGACACTGATGCTGTATATTCCAGAGCATGCATGTTTACATCTGTGCATTAGCAGCAGGAGGTTCTGGGGCAGTAAACAGACATGTCTTACCTGAGGAAATGCTTCATGTTGCCTCAGTCTCTCTCTCTGTGTCTCTCTCTCTGTGAGTCTCTCTCTCTGTCTGTTCACGTGTCCTCTGGAGCGGCTCACCTGCCAAAGCAAAGCAGAACAAACACTGACGTGAATCAGGAGCAGGGTCTCACACATGCGGGCCCCAGATACCGAGAGAGAAACCCCCCTGAGCTGCAGCTTCAGGCCCCGACAAACCCTGGCGCTGTCCGTGGTCCTGATCCCATCCAAACGGACCATTCCCGGACATATTCCAACGATCTGTCTCCGCAATCAGCCTTCCACGCACGGTCTAATCCACAGAACGTTAGCCACGACACCAAACACCGCTCGCTTGAAGCGTAAAATTGCAAAACGAGGCAAACGACGCGAGCACGCAGCGAGAACAGGGCGATGTCAGATTGCAAAACGAAGCGAGTGTGTGCAGTGGAGCAGAGACGCACCTGTGTGGGTATGAGGCCAGTGTTCAGCGGAGACGATGACATTCACAGCTCCTCCATCATGGACTGAGGTGAGGGGTGCAGTGCCCAGAGCGGCCGCTAACAGTGAGGGGGCGCCATAGAGTCGGTGAGATCCATTCACAGGAGGCTCACAGGACAGAGGTGGTGTTTTTACTCAATTACAGTTACTTAAGTAAGTATGTTTTCTGGTATAAGTCCTGGCTCCTGTGGCTCAGAACCGCGGTAAAGAGGTCCGGCTTTTCAAAGTCAGCGGTAAAGAGGTCCGCACATTAAAAGCGAGTGGCCGCTTTATGCTGTTACTTACAGTAACGTGGGGATGAGCCGCTACAATGCACGTTTATTAACATGATTTTCTTTTTTTCAAATAAAAACCTTATAAAAAGCTTTCATTGCACACTTGTTCATTGTGACATTCACTTTTACTCTGGGAATTCAAAGATGTCTTTTTTTTAACTAAAGAAACCTTAAAAAAAAGCTTGACCACATTGTGCTGATAGTGTATCACAGCTACGCCACCAGGGAGCAGTCTAATGTTGAGAGTGAGTCGTTGAAGAATCGGGCACATGTTATACCTGCTGAAGCCTAATAAAGCGAACGAACCAAGATCCATTTTTATTGTTTTATCAAAACATTAAACAAATGAACTTTTTTTCATGTCTTACCTTGATGACATGTGGCCTCTCTCTCTGGTCTCTCTCTGGTCTCTCTCTGGTCTCTCTCTAGTCTCTCTCTAGTCCCTCTCTAGCCTCTCTCTGGTCTCTCTTTAGTCTCTCTCTGGTCTCTCTAGTCTCTCTCTGGTCTCTCTCTGGTCTCTCTCTGGTCTCTCTCTGGTCTCTCTAGTCTCTCTCTGGTCCCTCTCTGGTCTCTCTCTGGTCTCTCTCTCTGGTCTCTCTCCGGTCTCTCTGGTCTCTCTCTGGTCTCTCTCTGGTCTCTCTCCGGTCTCTCTCCAGTCTCATGGTCTCTCTCTGTCATCATTAAAGGGTCCTTATCTGTCATCATTAAAGAGCCCTAATCTGTCATTTTGAAAGGGCCCTAACTGATAACAGTAGTTCAGAGATATTTAATTTCTAAATTACTTTTCCAGGCCCTAAATCTTGTTACTGTTTTCATTTTGATGTCCCGCCCTCCACCGTTTCACCAATCAGAAAGTCTGTGATCTGGGCACCAGAACTCACCGCGTGGAGCTAATCTCACTGGTAAAGTACCATTTGGCGCAGAACTAAAAAAGGTCTCGTTATGATTCTCAAATCATTAACGACAAAACAAGGAATAAAACCAGGATTACTATCTTTGTGAAAAAGGTGTTGGTTATAGATTTGTTGTTGACAAAACTCTTGTCTATTCAGCTATTATGGTCCCAGATGGATTCGTCTGCATATCTGGCAACCTGAGTCAGAGAGAGTGGGAGAGGCTTCAGTACCACTTTTAGCCACATTTTTACACATTGCTCTTTTAAATCTCATAATCTGATGACACAGAAAATCCTCCGTAGCTTTTGAGAACCCAGGGACAGAGCTCCATTTGAACAAAAAGGAACATTGGAACATTTTTGTACAATTTAATATTTTTGCATCACATTTGGAATATAACAGCAGTAAACAATACTGAGGCACATCCAGCCTCTGGGCAGATGAAAAACTCTTTTCAACTCACAGTTTGACGTGTGGTCTCGGTAGCAGTCTCTTATTTCACACTCATTTAAGAAACAAGTTGAAATACATCTGTTGATATAATATGTTTCATCTTTTTTGAATAATCTGACATGACATTTCAGCTGCCGTGTCACGCATATCAAAATCATTAACAAAAGTACTAGTACTTAAAGGTTGTACCTCACAAGTGCAAAATACATTGGACAAAAAAGAAATATATTGAAAAGTCAGTTTGAGGTTGTATCCTCTTCCACCAGCCCAGCGCTCAGAGACAGAGGCGATAATCACTAAAAGTATTGATTAATAAGATGTAGTTTTGATCCATTTGAATAATCAATATGTTCTCCTTTTTATGGTAAATAAAGTTATGTTTAGGTTCAACTCTACCCTGGCCTTATCCATCCGTGCACTCCGCTCAATCATCATTTCCTGCATGTAACGTCTGGGTCTGGTCCCTGTGTCTGCGATTACAATCAGTTGAATTCCATCCGACCAATCAGAGAGAGCGGGAGGCTTGTGTTGTAATTAGATCTGGGTGACGTCAAGAGTTTGCGCCGAACGGGCAGTTCTATTTCATCCTTCCTGACCGCCAGAGGCGGTGCTTAAGCACTGGATGATCATCCTCGCGCATGCACAGATCAAGAGTCAAATAACAACAAAGTCACCCGTGACCTCCGGTAGCTCACGCGAGAGTCTATAAAGCCACGTGACACCGGAAGCACAGTCCCTTTTCACTTTCTCGCATGCAGGTTGTATGAGTCTGGCTGAAGCTAACTGATAGCTGTTTGTGCCTGTTGTTCGCGCCGCTTGCTGCCTGTAGCCCCGTGACTGCTCGTCGGTCGGTGCTGCGAGTTTCTCGCCCTCCGTGGGCTGCGCAAGCCGCGCTGCTTGCCTCTGGTGAGTGTTTGTTTTGCTTATTCGCCGTGACTTGTGCTCGGTTGTTTTTCGTTACTTCTTATAATTGAGGGGTTACTAGTGGCGTTTCTGCTCGACCCGACCCTGTTATCTGGCTGTTTACCTGCGCGTATTCAGAGTGTGTTTGGTGGGTTACCAGTGGCGTTCTGCTCGACCTGACCCTGTGTCTTGTTAATTACCTTGTTAATTATTTGTTAATTTCTGTCGGTCACTGGTGGCGTGTCTGCTCGACCTGACCCTGTTGAATTGGCTGTTGCCTGCGCGTGTTCCACGTGTTTCTGCGGGTTGTAAGTGGCGTCTCTGCTCGCACTACCCTACTATATTGGTTGTTCCCTGCACGTGTACGGCGTTCGGTGGGTCACTAGTGGCGTCTCTGCTCGACCTGACCTTGCTGTATTGGTTGTTCCCGGCACGTGTACGGCGTTCGGTGGGTCACTAGTGGCGTCTCTGCTCGACCTGACCCTGCTGTATTGGTTGTTCCCTGAACCTGTGAGGCGTTCGGTGGGTCACTAGTGGCGTCTCTGCTCGACCTGACCCTACCGGGAGTGCCCCTGTACTTGGCGGCGACTGCTCCTGCGCGTTAGCTCGCTGGGATGCTTGAGCCGTTGGCCTGCCAGTCCTGTCTGGCCCCGATGCAGCAGGACGATGGCCATGTGCTGTGTCCCTCCTGTCTGGGTGTGGGCCACCTGCGGGAGGCGCTAACCGAGCGTGCATGTCCCGATTGTGCGGTAATGCCCTGGCCGGTGCGCGTGGCCCGCCTGTCGGCCCTGGACGGACATTTCAGTGGCGATTCTGGGGACTGTGAGTCTGCCCTGTTGGTTGACCGACCCCCTGGTCGCAAACGTGAGGGCGCCCGGGGTGATGACCCTCCGCGGAAGAAGTCGAAGTCCTCTGGTCGCGGGGTTCTGACTTCGAAGGTCGATTCGCTTTCTGTGGAGTTGGCTCAGTTGCGGACCCTCCTTCATGACCTTCAGGCTGGTACTGGCCAGTCGGTGGCCCGACCGGTCTCGGTCCCTTTGTCGGTGTGCGATGAGGATGATGCTCTCTCGGTGGCGGCATCTGACACACATTTTCGGCCGGGCTCTGATGTTCTGAGCTCCAGGGTCTCGGAGTCTGGTTCGGTGGGTTCTGTCGGGTCTCTGTCGGTTTCCGATGAGCCCGTGACTGCGGCGATCCGAACGGCTCTGGCGCATTTGAAGCTGGATGTGCCTCAGTGCGATGCGGGGCCCTCGAGTGCCTTCTTTCGCCGCCAGTCTGCGTCCTCGGGGTTCTCTGTTCCTCCTTCGGCGGAATATGTCAAGGAGCTACATGCCTGTTGGACTGACACGAGGGTTTTTTCTAGGCCCAATTCGGACGGTCGGGCCCTGGCTTCTATGCAGGCGCCTGACAAAGTTGGCCTGGGGCATATGCCGGCGGTGGAGCCTGCCATTGCCTCCTTGATTGTACACCCTGAAGAGGCTCTGCGCACTAATGCCCGGTGCCCTCGGCCGCAGTGTCGGGCCACAGATGACCTGCTCTGCAAGGCCTATGACATGGGGGCCCGCATGGGCCGCATTGGGAACTCCCTGTCTCATCTGCTGTTGGGGCTGTCCGCTTCTCTGGAGGCTGTCACATTGGACCAGTCCACGCAGGGGATGGTGGATGCTTCCTTGCAGGCTTTTGCCTTCATGTCTAGGGAACTGGGGCGTCTCCTCTCTACGCTGGTTCAGACTCGCCGCCAGGTGTGGTTGGCGCAGTCCCCTCTCTCCGAGGCCAGCCGCAGAGTGTTGAGGAGCGTTCCTGTGCTCCCTGGAGAGCTGTTTGGCTCGGCTGCCATTGCGGCTCTGGAGCGCACGGTCCAGGCCACTCAGACCCGGCAGCAGTTGGTGGGACTGCACAGGCATCCCCCGCGTGCGTCCGCTTCTGCTGCCCCTGTGCGCGGGCGGGTGGCCCCGCCCCGGAGTTTTTCTGTGCCCCGGACGGTGGATGGGCCGTCGGCTCATGGGGCTCGGCGGGGGAACTTTCCCCCGGCTCAGGCTCCACTGCGTCCCAGTCGTCGCCCCCCCAGGCCCGCTAAAGGCCGGGGTGCCCTCCGGTGAGGCGCCAGGGCCGGTGGTGGGACGGTTTACCCCGGGACAACTTGGTTACTGGAGGGCCCAATCCCCCGATGCATGGGTTGTGGCCACTTTGTCCGTGGGGTATCGTCTCCAGTTCCGCCGCCGGCCTCCTGTTCCCGGCCGGGTCCTTGTGACTGTCATCCAGGACCCGGTCAGGGCGCAGGCACTTGTCCGGGAGATTCGTACTCTACTGGACAAGGATGCCATCGTGCCTGTCGACCCCCTGCTGGATCCAGGGGGCTTTTATTCCCGTTATTTTCTTGTACCGAAAAAGACCGGCGACTTGCGACCGGTCTTGGACCTGGGCGTCTGAATGTTTTCTTGAAGGTCCTCCCTTTCAAGATGTTGCGTGTCCGGCAGGTCCTCCAGGCGGTGTCCCCTGGGGACTGGTTCACGTCGATAGACCTGAAGGACGCCTACTTTCACGTCCCGATTGCTCCTCAGCATTGCCGGTTCCTGCGTTTTGCCTTTCAGGGGAGGCACTTCCAGTTCAGGGTGCTTCCCTTCGGCCTCTCGCTCTCTCCTCGGGTCTTTACGAGATGCGTGGCGGCGGCTCTTTCCCCGTTGCAGGCCAGGGGGTTGAGGATCCTGCCCTATCTGGACGATTGGCTGATCTGTGCCCCCACTCGCGAGCAGTCTCTGCGGGATACGCAGGCTGTGATAGAGCACGTGACCAGGTTGGGTCTGCGAGTGAACCTGGCAAAGAGCAATGTGGTGCCGTCTCAGCAGGCTTTGTTCCTGGGCATGGCTCTGGATTCCCTGTCTATGTCCGCCCGCCCCTCGCCTCGACGTGTCGGGGACATTCGGGCGTTGCTCCCGGGCTTCCGTCGAGGACGGTCGCTCCCTTACCTGGCGTTCCTCAGGCTCCTGGGCATGCTGATTGCAGCCTCGTCTGTGGTCCCCCTGGGTCTTTTGTCCTTGCGCCCGCTGCAGATGTGGCTCAATGGCCTGGGGCTGGACCCGGCCAATCCTGTTCACAGACGTCGGCGGTTACTGGTGTCTCCTCGGTGTATGGAGTCACTGTCCCGGTGGCGCGACGAGGCGTTTGTGCTGACGGGCGTCGCGCTGGGTCCCCTGCCGTCCCGCCGGGAGGTGGTGCATACGGACGCGTCCCTGACAGGGTGGGGCGCAACGTGGCAGGGGCGTGCGGTTCAGGGCGTCTGGCCGGTGCGGCAGAGGGGGCTCCATATCAACGTCCTGGAGCTCCTGGCCGTTCAGCTTGCGCTGCGCCATTTCCTGCCGGTCTTGCGGGGGCGGCATGTGTTGGTGCGGTCGGACAACACCAGTGTGGTCTATTTCATCAACCACCAGGGGGGAACTCGGTCGGAGTGCTTGCTGACAGTGGCACGAGGGCTGTTGACTTGGGCCTATCCCCGTCTTGCGGGTTTGACCGCGATGCACATCCCAGGGACTCTGAATGTGTCGGCGGATTTCCTGTCGCGCCACGTTTCGCTGCCGGGCGAGTGGCGGCTACACCCGGAGGTAGTGGTCTCCATTTGGGGGTTGTTCGGCCGGGCGAGGGTGGATCTCTTTGCCTCTCAGGGAACGACTCATTGCCCGCTGTGGTTCTCCCTGTTGGAGTCCACCGGTCCCCTGGGTCAAGACGCGCTGGCTCACGACTGGCCCAGGGTTCTGCTGTACGCGTTCCCGCCGTTCCCTCTGATCCATCAGACGCTGCTCCGGGTCCTTCAGGAGGGCCACAGGATGATACTGGTGGCCCCGTATTGGCCGGGGAGGACATGGTTTCCCTTGCTGCTCAGGCTCTGCTGCGGCTTGGCGAGACCCCTTCCCTCCAGGCGGGATCTCCTGTCTCAACTGGGGGGCCGGCTTCTCCATCCGGACCCCGGCCGCCTGCGGCTTTGGGTGTGGCACCTCCGGGGACCGGTTTAGCGTTTACAGCCTATACTGGGGAGGTTGGCCGCACCATGTGCAATGCCCGGGCTCTGTCCACACGCCGGCTGTATTCCTGTAAGTGGAACGTGTTCGACGGGTGGTGTCGTGGCAGGGGACTCGACCCGCGTCTCTGCTCGGTGACGTCCATACTGACCTTCCTTCAAGAACTGCTCAGTAAAGGCCGTTCTCCGTCCACCCTGAAGGTATACGTTGCTGCGATTTCGTGTGGGCACGCTGGGTTTGGTGGGACTAGTGTCGGTCGTGTTACTGACGTTTCACTGTTTTTGAAAGGTGCCCGCCGGTTGCACCCGCCCTGTCGTCCTGTGGTGCCGGCTTGGGACCTCTCGGTTGTCCTTGATGCCCTGCGTTCCCCGCCATTTGAGCCTTTGGGGGAGATTGCCCTCAAGTGGCTGTCTATGAAGACAGCGTTTCTCCTGGCTATGGCCTCCGGACGGCGGGTGAGTGAACTCCATGCTCTGTCGGTGACCGAGGCCTGTTGTCGTTGGCATCCTGACGGCTCGGGTGTGTCTATGTGGCCGGATGTGTCCTTTGTCCCGAAGGTGTCTTCTGGTCGGTATGACGGGCCCCTTCAGTTGGCCCGTTTTGGTTCTGGTGAGCCCCCTGACCCTCTGTGCCCTGTTCGTGCACTGGAGGTGTACATTCGCTCCACGGCCTCGATAAGGCGTTCAGACGCCCTGTTTGTCTGCTGCGCCGGCCCTCGCGTTGGTCGGGCTCTGTCCAAGCAGCGTCTCTCCCACTGGGTCGTGGGGGTTGTGACAGAGGCCTATGCCTTGCGGGGGCTGCCGTTACCGCCTGGGGTGAGGTGCCATTCTACGAGGGGCATGTCAACTTCGTGGGCTGCTGTGAGTGGTGTGTCGTTGGACGTCATCTGTGCGGCGGCGTCATGGTCGTCCCCAAGCACCTTCGCCAGGTTTTATCGGGTTAATGTTGCCGCCCCGCACCCCCTGCAGGGGGTTCTGCGGCGCCGCTCATCCGTTTCACAGTAAGGTGAGGTTCTGGTTGGTTTCCTCGTGACCTTGCTGATATTCGTCATCCAGTGCTTAAGCACCGCCTCTGGCGGTCAGGAAGGATGAAATAGAACGAGAGTTACGACTGTAACTACGGTTCTATGAATCCTGGATGACCGCCAGAGCGCCCGGTCCCTCGGAATCCTTGTGCAAGAAAGGTTCTAGGGACTGTGCTTCCGGTGTCACGTGGCTTTATAGACTCTCGCGTGAGCTACCGGAGGTCACGGGTGACTTTGTTGTTATTTGACTCTCGATCTGTGCATGCGCGAGGATGATCATCCAGTGCTTAAGCACCGCCTCTGGCGGTCATCCAGGATTCATAGAACCGTAGTTACAGTCGTAACTCTCGGTTGTAGTTTGGCGAAGAATGCGATAGCAAGAGGAATGTTTAGCAAATGTAATCGCTGCAAAGTTGGTGGCGCTACTCCCCACGAGCTCCGTTAGCAGCAATGGAGATGGTTATGCTAAAGGCTACATGCTAAAGCTAGGCTAAATGCTAAAGGCTAACGACTCACTCTGGCTCATTGAATACGTCACAGTAAACTCAGATCCAATCGTTTCAATCTGCAAAAGGAGTTAGCCCCTCCCACCTGTTAACGGAGTCAATGGAGCAAATCCAGACCGTAGTACCAAATGAAATGTGATTTGTACTATGAAGTGGTAAGACCAGGCTAGGTATTTAGTGTCGTATGAATTAAATGTATCGTCTGTATTCAAAAACACTAAAATGTATTGCAATAATAACCAGACGAAGTGAGAAAGAGAGGCTCAGGTCAGAAATTGAAATGTAACAGAAAGTTAAATATATGATGTTTAACTTAAAGTTGAATTCTTTAACAAACCACCTCAAACATAATTTAATCTGATGCAGTTTGAAATGCATTTGTCTCTGTCCCATCTTTAAGTCAATCCGCCCAAAGTGTCAGGACATGTTTTCTAAGGTTCATTGTGTTCATTATGACACAGGACGCAAATGGGAACTCGTCCTGGAGGAAAAAAATGTGAGGACTGGACTCGAAACCACCACAGAGACTACGGCTTTCAGACCAATCAGACCCTGAGGCCTGGACTCACAGCGTCTGAAGGAAAAAGGCACCACACTGCTTTGAGGAAACACAACCGGACAAACAGAAAGTCACTGAAAACCTTAACTTGCCACTCATAATTCTTTTCCTACAGCTACTCTGCACATTGGGCTGGTGGGAAAAGGATAGCTTTAAAATCCCATTCACATTCTGTTCTACAATCTTTTTTGCGTAGGAACATTCTTGGAGGGGGTGGTGGTGGTGGTGGTCGACCGATTCACAATTCACAGAAAGTCAACACATACATTCCTTGTTGAAAACATTCACAAAAGGATAAAAAGAAGAACACAGTCTGGACGCTTCAACCTGCAGTGCGTGAGCTGGCCACCGGGGGCAGGCTGCTGTAAACATGCTTCAGTAGCTCCTGTAAACTGTAAACTGAGGATCTGAGAGAGTGGAGGGAAACGTCGGACTGGACTCGACTGGACTGGACTCACCCGCTGGACCGGGGCCTGTAGTCCTCACCTTTGACTCTTCTGCTAAAGTGACTTTATGGAGTTTGAGACGGAAGAAAGAGACAGAGACCTCAGTACAGAACTCAGCACGGAGACCTCAGCACGGAGACCTCAGCACGGAGACCTCAGCACGGAGACCTCAGCACAGAGACCTCAGCACAGAAACTTCATGATAAAGCTGGTGCTGGGCTCTCAGGCTGAGGCTGATCAGGGAGAAGGAGCTCGACATGATCCAGAGACACACAGAATGAATGAACTCAGGGTAAAGTGCAGAGTCAATATCAAGAGGAATCTGGTGTGGACAGGCCGCAGTCCTCACTGTCGCCAGCAGGGGGCAGCCAAGCTTCAGGTCACAGCCATTGACAGTAGAAGACAAACTGAACCAGCTCGCAGTAGGATCCACCAAAGTATGTGTTTTTTGTGTATTATATTTTTATTGCAGAGACTGGTTTGGTAAAAGAGAATATAGTGTTAATGAGGCTTTAAGTAATTTTGAAAAATATAATCATTTAAAAAAAACACCTTTGTCTTTCTACTGTCAATGGTTTTTGACAAAATGCTCAGAAGAATCTTCTGAGGTGCATTCCAGAGCACAGGGGGAGGAGCCACGGGGCGGAGCCAGGGGGTGGAGCCAGTGGGACCAGGGGCCAGGGGGCGGGAAAAGGGGCCTGTCAGTCATTGATCGCCCCCGGCAGCTCGTTGGTCAGTGTGTGCCAGCGCTCAATTTTCTTGTCCTTGTTTTTGAGGCAGTCGAACCAGTGCTTGAGACGCTCCCCATTTGCATTGATGCCCAGTGACACGCCCCCTGCAGGTCACACCACACAATACATCAGATATGCGGCTTTGTTACCGTTTCTAAGTGCTAATAAATCAAATGCTAATAGTATGTTTTGTACAAAGGTGAAGAAGTAGTGCTAAATATAGGTTTACATCAGTCAAGTGTATACTGAGACAGAGGTCTGTATGTATACTGAGACAGAGGTCTGTATGTATACTGAGACAGGTCTGTATGTATACTGAGACAGAGGTATGTACTATTTATACTGAGATCAAGGTCTGTATGTATACTGAGATGTATACTGAGACAGAGGTCTGTATGTATACTGAGACAGAGGTCTTTATGAATACTGAGACAGAGGTCTGTATGTATACTGAGACAGAGGTATGTATGTATACTGAGTCAGAGGTATGTATGTATACTGAGACAGAGGTATGTATACTGAGACAGAGGTCTGTATGTATACTGAGACGGAGGTCTGTATGTATACTGAGACAGAGGTATGTATGCTGAGACAGAAGTATGTATACTGAGACAGAGGTCTGTATGTATACTGAGACAGGTATGTATGCTGAGACAGAGGTATGTATACTGAGACAGAGGTCTGTAAGTATACTGAGACAGAGGTCTGTATGTATACTGAGACCGAAGTCTGTATGTATACTGAGACAGGTCTGTATGTATACTGAGACAGGTCTGTATGTATACTGAGACAGAGGTATGTATGTATACTGAGACAGGTCTGTATGTATACTGAGACAGGTCTGTATGTATACTGAGACAGAAGTCTGTATGTATACTGAGACAGAGGTATGTATGTATACTGAGACAGAGGTATGTATACTGAGACAGGTCTGTATGTATACTGAGACAGAGGTATGTATGTATACTGAGACAGGTCTGTATGTATACTGAGACAGGTCTGTATGTATACTGAGACAGAGGTATGTACGTATACTGAGACAGAGGTATGTATGTATACTGAGACAGGTCTGTATGTATACTGAGACAGGTCTGTATGTATACTGAGACAGAGGTATGTACGTATACTGAGACAGAGGTATGTATGTATACTGAGACAGGTCTGTACGTATACTGAGACAGAGGTATGTACGTATACTGAGACAGAGGTATGTATGTATACTGAGACAGAGGTCTGGTATGTATACTGAGACAGAGGTGTGTTGTGTATGTGTTGTGTGTTCGGTGTATTTGTTGTGTGTGTGTTGTGTGTTTAGTTTGTTGTTTGTTCGGTGTGTGTGTTTGTTGTGGTGTGTGTGTGTGTGTGTTTGTTGTGGTGTGTGTGTGTTTATTGTGGTGTGTGTGTGTGTGTGTGTGTGTGTGTGTGTGTGTGTGTGTTTGTTGTGGTGTGTGTGTGTGTGTGTGTGTGTGTTTGTTTTGGTGTGTGTTTGTTGTGGTGTGTGTGTGCGTGTGTGTTTGTTTGTTGTGGTGTGTGTGTGTGTGTTTGTTTGTTTGTTGTGGTGTGTGTGTGTGTGTGTGTGTGTGTTTGTTTGTTGTGGTGTGTGTGTGTGTGTGTGTGTGTGTGTGTGTGTGTGTGTGTGTGTGTGTGTGTGTGTGTTTGTTTGTTGTGGTGTGTGTTTTACCAATGAAGTCGTTGGATTTGCCGAGGTCGTAGTCCCACACTGTGACCTCCAGAGTCTTTTTGGTCAGATCTGCATATTTAATGTCGTAGGAGAACTCCTGCAGAGACACACAACATTACACTACTACACATTGCTACACACTACCACACACTACTACACACTACCACACACTACTACACACTACTACACACTCCTACACACTGCTATACAACACTACACACTACCACACACTACTACAAACTGCTACACACTACTACACACTGCTACATACAACTCCTGCTACTAATACTATGTTTTATTGGTGTTTATTGTTGTTTGACAGTCCCTAAAGTGTAACATTCTTTTTAGTTTTCTTTGTGTAGAGCCGGGGTCAGAGGTCAGAGGGAGAGCAGAGGGGGAAAGAGCAGAGGGGGGAGGAGGGAGAGCAGAAGGGGAGAGAGCAGAGGGGGGAGGAGTGAGAGCAGAGGGGAGATAGCAGAGGGGGGAGGAGGGAGAGCAGAGGGGGGAGGATGGAGAGGAGGGGGGGGAGGATGGAGAGCAGGGGGGGAGAGCAGAGGGTGAGGAGGAGAGCAGATGAGGAGGAGAGATATGAGGGGGAGGAGGAAGATCAGAGGGGGAGGAGGACACTGCCCCCCGAATGTCACCCCAAATGTCAGCGTTCAGACTCTGAACATACACCACAATCACTGACACGGTCCACAGGCTCCGTCTCTGTACTGTCTCTGTACTGTCTCTGTACTGTCTCTGTACTGTCTCTGTACTGTCTCTGTACTGTCTCTGTACTGTCTCTATACTGTCTCTGTACTTACTTCATTGAATTCTGGGTTGAGCGTCTTCTTCTTTACAGCCGTCTTGTGCTTGGATTTTTTGTTCTCGTCCGGCTTGAGATACCTGCAAACACACAGAGAGAGAGGGAGGTGAGGAAGAGGAGGAGAGGAGAGGAGTCTCAGAGGGGGGACACAGCTGTAGAGACACAGGCTGACCTCCCTCAGCCTCTGGTTCAGACTGAAGTTTAAACACTGCACATGAGTTTCATCGCTGAATATAACGTCTTTTACTGTATTTGCTCCACACCAACATGTTTCAATAATGGGGATTAATTGAATTGACACATACATACAAAAATACAAACATACATACATACATTAGTACAGAGCAAAAGTGTGGACACCCTCTCTCCTTCACTGAGTTCTTTTCATGACTATTGTTGTAGATCCACACCAGGCTGTGTAAGGGCTGTTTGACCAATAAGGAGAGGGATGGTGCTGGGCCACATGACTTCCACAGTCACTGGACCACAGAGTGAAGGGGCCAACAAGTGCCAAGCATCATGGGAACTCCTTCAAGGCTGTTGAGGCCATTTCAGATCCTCTTGACGTTCAAAGCATAAAATTTAAGATCATTATTTGAACGATCATCATTTTAACAAACAAAGCCAAAAATGGCTCCTTCTTATCTTCAGGACTCGGTTAGTGTCATATCAACCAAACCGAGCACTGTGCTCGCTAAACGCCAGACGTCTGCTGGGTCCTAAAGAGTCAAAACGCCAGACATCTGCTGGGTCCTAAAGAGTCAAAAAGCGATGTTGTGGCAGAGCATTTAGCTCCAAGCTCCTTCACTGTGGAATCAGCTTCATCCACGTTAAGGAAGCAGATACGGTCTCTACATTCAAGGCCAGGCTTAAAGCACTCTTCTTCAATTAAGCATTTGCTTAGGTTGTTAGTCTGGTTTGGTTGGTAGGTGCACTTTATAAATCCCCGTAGGGCAATTTATCCTCTGCATTTGACCCATCCTGATGCCACTAAGGCTTACAACAGGAGCAGTGGTCGCCGTGGTAACAGCGTCCGGGAACCATCTCCAGATGTTGATGCTCGGCTTGGTCAGGACCAGAGCTGGAGGATTTACCTAGTGAGCATGTTTTTAGTAGTAAGGAAAACCGGAGTACCCGGAAAAAAACCTATGCAAGCACGGGGAGAAAATGCAAACTCCACTCAGAAAGACCCCGCTCCGACCGGGATTCAAACCCAGGACCTTCTTGTTGAGAGGCAGGAGTGCTATCCACTCAGCCACCGTGCTTCCCTGTTGGTCTGGTTCCATTGTTAGTCTGGTTTTGGAGTCTGCTTGTACAGGACCCTGTGGACCGCTGCATCTTTCAACCTTTGTTACAAACTCGGACCTAACTTAACTTTATATCATGGATTACACACTTTCCTTGGTGCAGTAGCCTGCACTAGCCTATTTACCACATGTATGACAGTTATCACATGCATGACAGTTATCAACATGTATGACAGTTATCAACATGTATGACATTTATCACATGTGTGACATTTATCAACATCTATGACATTTATCAACATGTGTGACATTTATCAACATGTAAGACATTTATCAACATGTATGACATTTATCAACATGTGTGACATGCATACAGTATATACTGGTTTTGGAGTCTGCTTGTACAGACTCCAAAACTGCAGTTCATCCAGAGCGATCATGGGCCTCTTGGCTGCATCTCTGATCAGTCTTCTCCTTGTTTGAGATGAAAGTTTGGAGGGACGGCCGGGTCTTGGTAGATTTGCAGTGGTCTGATACTCCTTCCATTTCAATATAATTGCTTGCACAGTGCTCCTTGAGATGTTTAAAGCTTGGGAAATCTTTTTGTATCCAAATTCGGCTTTAAACTTCTCCACAACAGTATCTCGGACCTGCCTGGTGTGTTCCTTTGTCTTCATGGTTCTCTCTGCGCTTTAAACAGAACCCTGAGACTATGAAAGAGCAGGTGCATTTATACGGAGACTTGATTACACACCGGTGCATTCTATTTATCATCATCAGTCATTTAGGACAACATTGGATCATTCAAAGATCCTCACTGAACTTCTGGACTGAGTTTGCTGCACTGAAAGTAAAGGGGCCAAATAATATTGCACGCCCCACTTTTCAGTTTTTTATTTGTTAAAAAAGTTTAAATCATCCAATAAATTTCGTTCCACTTCACGATTGTGTCCCACTTGTTGTTGATTCATGACAAAAAATATTTTTTTTATATCTTTATGTTTGAAGCCTGAAATGTGGCGAAATGTTGAAAGGGGTTCAAGGGGGCCAAAAACTTTTGCAAGGTACTGTATATACATATATACATACACACATACATACATACAAACATATATCCAGTACATACACACATACATACATGCATACATACATACATACATACATACACACACATACATACATGCACACATACATACATACAACGCATACATACATACATACAACACATACACACATACATACATACATACATACGGTACAAACATACAAACATACATACATGTACATACATACATACTTATATACATACACACATACATACATACATACATACGGTACAAACATACATACATGTACATACATACATACTTACATACATACACACATACATACATACTGTACACACATACACACATACATACATACATAAATACAGACAGACTGACTGACCTCTGACCTGGTCATTTTTAAAATGTGAATGTGTTTCAACAACATTCTTGTGTGTTTTGTTACTGACGTTTTGACGTAGGGGTCGGAGAAGCCGTTGGCGTCCATGGCGGCCAGGTGGGCACAGCGGATGATGCCCACCACCAGACAGGATTTCTGGGTGTTGTACTTGAGGGAGATCATGATCCGGCCTCGCTCCTCCAGAGACTTGTCCTCCGCTTTATTCACCTGGAAACAAACAAATCACAATTCACTCTAAAGTCATTAAACACTAAACACGACATCAGTGTGATACTAGTACACTTGTATCAGAGTGATGTGTGTGTGTGCGTGTGTGTCACTCACTGGGAGCTGTTTTTCTAAACAGTTGTTAAAGTTCTTGAGTTGATTTGGTTTCAGTTTCTTCAAAGGAATTCGTGTTTCTCCGATGAACTCGTTATGTCGAAACTTATCCTCGTCACAAACAGAGATCCTGAAGAGAGGGATCAAAGAGATTCTGAAGAGAGAGATCTAAGAGATTCTGAAGAGAGAGATCAAAGAGATCCTGAAGAGAGAGATCAAAGAGATTCTGAAGCGAGAGATCTAAGAGGTTCTGAAGTGAGAGATCTAAGAGATTCTGAAGAGAGAGATCAAAGAGATCCTGAAGAGAGAGATCTAAGAGATTCTGAAGAGAGAGATCTAAGAGATTCTGAAGAGAGAGATCTAAGAGATCCTGAAGAGATGGAGCAAAGATATCCTTAAGAGAGAGAGATTAAAGGGATTCTGATGAGAGAGAAACATGTAGTCAGTACCTGAGGTCTGCAAATGAGGTCTGTGGTTGTGCTTGAAGTCTGTGGTTGTACCTGAGGTCTGTGGTTGTACCTGTCGTCTGTAGTTGTACCTGAGGTCTGCAGTTGTACCTGAGGTCTGTGGTTGTACCTGTGGTTTTCAGTTGTACCTAAGGTCTGGGGTTGTACCTGTGGTCTGCAGTTGTACCTGTGGTCTGTGGTTGTACCTGAGGTCTGTGGTTGTACCTGAGGTCTGTGGTTGTACCTGAGGTCTGTGGTTTTACCTGTGGTTGTACCTGAGGTCTGGGGTTGTACCTGTGGTTTGCAGTTGTACCTGAGGTCTGTGATTGTACCTGTGGTCTGTGGTTGTACCTGAGGTCTGTGGTTGTACCTGAGGTCTGCAGTTGTACCTGAGGTCTGTGGTTGTACCTGTGGTCTGTGGTTGTACCTGTGGTCTGTGGTTGTACCTGTGGTCTGTGGTTGTACCTGAGGTCTGTGGTTGTACCTGTGGTCTGTGGTTGTACCTGTGGTCTGTGGTTGTACCTGAGGTCTGCAGTTGTACCTGTGGTCTGTGGTTGTACCTGTGGTCTGTGGTTGTACCTGAGGTCTGCAGTTGTACCTGAGGTCTGTGGTTGTACCTGTGGTCTGTGGTTGTACCTGTGGTCTGTGGTTTTACCTGTGGTTGTACCTGAGGTCTGGGGTTGTACCTGTGGTTTGCAGTTGTACCTGAGGTCTGTGATTGTACCTGTGGTCTGTGGTTGTACCTGAGGTCTGCAGTTGTACCTGAGGTCTGTGGTTGTACCTGTGGTCTGTGGTTGTACCTGTGGTCTGTGGTTGTACCTGAGGTCTGTGGTTGTACCTGTGGTCTGTGGTTGTACCTGTGGTCTGTGGTTGTACCTGTGGTCTGTGGTTGTACCTGTGGTCTGTGGTTGTACCTGAGGTCTGCAGTTGTACCTGAGGTCTGTGGTTTTACCTGAGGTCTGCAGTTGTACCTGTAGTCTGTGGTTGTTCCTTAGGTCTGTGGTTGTACCTAAGGTCTGTGGTTTTACCTGTGGTTTGTGGTTGTACCTGTGGTCTGTGGTTGTACCTGAGGTCTGTGGTTGTACCTGTGGTCTGTGGTTGTACCTGAGGTCTGTGGTTGTACCTGTGGTCTGTGGTTGTACCTGTGGTCTGTGGTTGTACCTGAGGTCTGCAGTTGTACCTGTGGTCTGTGGTTGTACCTGTGGTCTGTGGTTGTACCTGAGGTCTGCAGTTGTACCTGAGGTCTATGGTTGTACCTGAGGTCTATGGTTGTGCTTGAAGTCTGTGGTTGTACCTGAGGTCTGCAGTTGTACCTGAGGTCTGTGGTTGTACCTGAGGTCTGTGGTTGTACCTGAGGTCTGTGGTTGTACCTGAGGTCTGTGGTTGTACCTGTGGTCTGCAGTTGTGCCTGAGGTCTGTGGTTGTGCTTGAAGTCTGTGGTTGTACCTGAGGTCTGTGGTTGTACTTGAGGTCTGTGGTTGTACCTGAGGTCTGCAGTTGTACCTGAGGTCTGCAGTTGTACCTGAGGTCTGTGGTTGTACCTGAGGTCTGTGGTTGTACCTGTGGTCTTTGGTTGTACCTGTGGTCTGTGGTTGTACCTGAGGTCTGCAGTTGTGCCTGAGGTCTGTGGTTGTACCTGAGGTCTATGGTTGTGCTTGAAGTCTGTGGTTGTACCTGAGGTCTGTGGTTGTACTTGTGGTCTGTGGTTTTACCTGAGGTCTGCAGTTGTACCTGTGGTCTGTGGTTGTACCTGAGGTCTGTGGTTGTGCTTGAAGTCTGTGGTTGTACCTGAGGTCTGCAATTGTACCTGTAGTCTGCGGTCATACTTGTAATCTGTGGTTGTTCCTGTGCTCAGTGGCTGTACCTGTGGTCTGCAGTTGTACCTGTAGTCTGTGGTTGTACCTGAGGTGTATGGTTGTACCTGAGGTCTGTGGTTGTACCTGTGGTTGTACCTGAGGTCTGTGGTTGTACCTGTGGTTTTTGGTTGTACCTGAGGTCTGCAGTTGTACCTGAGGTCTGTGGTTGTTCCTTAGGTCTGTGGTTGTACCTGAGGTCTGTGGTTGTACCTGTGGTCTGTGGTTGTTCCTTAGGTCTGTGGTTGTACCTGAGGTCTGTGGTTGTACCTGAGGTCTGTGGTTGTACCTGAGGTCTGTGGTTGTACCTGAGGTCTGTGGTTGTACCTGAGGTCTGTGGTTGTACCTGTGGTTTGCAGTTGTACCTGAGGACTGTGCTTGTACCTGAGGTGTATGGTTGTACCTGAGGTCTGCAATTGTACCTGTAGTCTGTGGTTTTACCTGAGGTCTGCAATTGTACCTGTAGTTTGCGGTCATACTTGTAATCTGTGGTTGTACCTGTGCTCAGTGGCTGTACCTGTGGTCTGTGGCTGTACCTGTGGTCTGCGGCTGTACCTGTAGTCTGTGGTTGTACCTGTGCTCAGTGGCTATACCTGAGGGTCTTGCGGACCATGTCTTCGTCTGTGATGCCGTAGTACGTGAGGGTCTCGGTCCACACCGGGTTCAAAGTGTTGTGCAGAGTCTTCGTCCTCAGTTTATTCGCCTGAAAAACAAAAAAATATATTTTATTATTAATCCAACTCTAAGTAACTCTGACTAACTAGAACTAACTCTAAGTAACTCTGACTAACTGTAACTAACTCTAAGTAACTCTGACTAACTCTAACTAACTGTGACCAGGACTAATGTGAGAGGACTTCAGGACTTCAGACATCCAGAGAGACGCATACAGACACACACTCTCACACACAAAGAGATACACACACATACACACAACACACAAAATGTAGACATTGGCCCATTGGTGTTGATAAATGTGGGCCTAGAGCCTCCATCAGAGGAACAACTTTAACACAAAAGAAATTGGGATAAAGTGAGGGAGCCCCACATTGAGGGAGGGATCCACTCTACATTCTCCACTGAAGCCTGGAGCCTGGAGCCTGGAGCCTGGGGCTTGGAGCCTGGAGCCTGGGGCCTGGAGCCTGGGGCTTGGAGCCTGGAGCCTGGGGCCTGGGGCCTGGAGCCTGGGGCCTGGAGCCTGGAACCTGGAGCCTGGGGCCTGGAGCCTGGGGCCTGGAGCCTATGCGTCTTTTGCACACGCTGCTGCAATAATGGAACTTTTACACATTTGTCTAAAAATAGTTCCCTCGATTACACCAGCCCACATTCAACACACAACAAGACGGAAGGATGTGAAAACCAAACAAACTCACATACACACACAGGCACACACACACACACACACAGAGACACACACGCACACAGACCCACACACACAGGCTCACACACACAGACACACACTTTCATTGTCTGCTAGGAGGGGTTTTCCTCGTCTCATTAAAACCCCAAATCTAATTTCTGCTTTAGTCACGGAAACTATCAACGAGATCCCCCATGGTCCTCCCACTTCTCTCTGGTCACAGATCACAGCAAGAAAATACTATGTATAATGATAATGATGATGATAATGATGATGATGATGATGATGATGATCAATCAATCTTCATCTATTGGGCGCCTTTCCTCCACAGGGCAAGCACTTCAGTCCACACCACACACGGCACACATCAACACATAAAACAAACACCAAGGCCAGTCCCTGTGATCCTCAGAGTCCCAGCAGGAGGCCAGTCCCTGTGCTCCTCAGAGTCCCAGCAGGAGGCCAGTCCCTGTGCTCCTCAGAGTCCCAGCAGGAGGCCAGTCCCTGTGATCCTCAGAGTCCCAGCAGGAGGCCAGTCCCTGTGATCCTCATTAATGTGATGGTACGTCCTGGTTCTAGTCAGGACTAATGTGATGGTAGAGAACGGAGAGATCGCGCAAGATGGCGGCCAGTCCACAAACTTTTTGAGACGTCTGACTGAAATTTTAACTCCAACTCAAACTGGCTCAAACGCTTTTGAGAAACCAATTGGAAGTAAAGGACATTTATATTGATATATTTGAGAGGACGGAACAAAACAAACTAGTTTAAAGTGAGTGGAAAAAATATTTTACTAAAAGACCGTTAGCCTTTTATTAGCATTAAGCTAGCGGATTTTGCAAGCACGCTTTGAACATGTTGAAGAACTCTAAAGCCATGAAAGATGAACTCAAACGTAAGACAAGCAGCTCTGATACGCATACTACGATGGACGAGCATGACTACGCCAGTGAGAACAGCTTTGGTCTGTTGGAAATTGATGAAGAATTTTCACCACTCCCCGACTCGCCAGTTAACAGCCCCGCGCCAAAGAAAACATGCAGTGTGGAGAAAGAGCCTTCATTACACGCCATCCTCAAAGCGGTCAAAGACAGAGCAGAGGAGATAAAGGTGCTTATAAATCTGAATTAAACAGTCGATTGGGTACTTGCATGACGAGATTGATGACATAAAGAAAGAGAATAATGCATTGAAAACAACGTGTGGAAAGCTAAAGACTGAAATGGAGAATCTAGAGGAGCGTGTTGCTGAGGCTGAACGATATAAGCGCAGATGGTGCCTTCGCATGTACAGTCTGCCTGAACATGATGGAGAAAACGTGAAGGAGAAGGTCATGACCATCTGTCAAAAAGTGGTTCCTGCGCTCGGACAGAAGACATTGGAGGGGATTGACGTAGCTCACAGGCTGGGAAGGCGTGATGCTAACAAGCCCAGAGGGGTCATCATTCTGTTCGCTCTCCGCTCATTAAGAGACGAGATCTGGAGAAGTGCAAAAAACAACAGCTACCTACAAGACAACAAGTTGCGCTTTGAAGAAGACTTAACTAAGGAAGACAAGGACGCCAGAGCGGCGCTGTGGCCCATCATCGAGCAGGCCCGTAAAGACGGTAAGAAGGCATACTTCGTGGGACGTAGAGGATTCGTGGAAGGAAAAGAAGTTCGACGCAGCGTTCCTTCCTGACTGAATGGCAAGACAAAGAAGATTGATTGAACTTGTCCTCACTGTGAATTTCTATTGCTACACTCAATGATGAAGTGTGGTAAGACTACATGTTTATGTTCAATATAAATACATACACGTTCACTCATGTGTATGTACATTTGAGGTTTCAAATATGTTACAAGGAGTTGTGGTTTCAGTTAATGTCTTAGAGGTTTTTTTTCCAAAAGGTTCTATAAAAAGTTATTTTGGATTTAACACTTTTGTCTGTTAATACAAGGGGTCTGCGGGATAATATTAAAAGAAAAGCTTTTTTTTGTTCTCTAAAGAGGCTAAATCAGATTTTATCTTTCTTCAAGAATGTCACTCTAACTCAGAAGATGTTTCATTCTGGAAGAATCAGTGGGGGAAGGATTTGTGGTTTGCACACGGCCCAAACAAATCAGCAGGAGTCATTATTTTAAAAGATAATTTTAAAGGAAAATGTTTAGATTCTATATCTGATAGCAAAGGTCATTGGATTATAATAGTAATTGAGTTGCCCTCTTCCATTTTTTTGTTGGGGAATGTTTATGGCTATAATTCTGACTCTGCAAACTCAACTTTGTTGAATGAAATACAAGCCGTTGTTAATACTCTACACACAAAATATACTTTGGCAAGGTTGATCTTGGGAGGAGATTTCAATATGGTGTGGTCAAACCATGTTGATAGACATCCTTCAAAATCAAGACATGAAGACAAACATTTGATTGAATTTTCAAACCATCTAAACTTAATAGATATATGGAGGATTCGGCGTCCTGATGAACGTCAATATACATGGAACAACAAAACATTTTCATCCTTATCTAGAATTGACTTTTGGTTAACATCAAAGGAAATTGAGCAATGTGTATCAGAGGTAGAAATTTGTCCAGCTGTATTAACTGATCATAGATCAATTTCCATAAAACTGAACTTGACATGTAAAGAAAACAGAAGAGTATATCGCCTCTGGAAACTTAACAATTTATTATTAAACAATACTGATCTTACCTCTGTTATAAAGAAACTTATCAAACAATACTGGACTCTAGCAACAATCAATAATGAATTTGGAAAATATTGGGAGCTACTTAAATATGAAATTAGAAAATTTACAATCCACTTCAGTAAAAGACTAAATCAAAATAAAAAAAAGAATCTAGAACAACTAATTAAACGTATTTCAGAAATTACCACTCAGATTTTAGACAATAATAATAACGAATTGCACACACAATTACTTAAATGTCAAGAAGAATTAGATGGGATTTTTAGGGAAAGGGCTCAAGGAGCATTTGTCAGATCAAGATTGAAATGGATTGAAGAAGGGGAGAAAAACAGCAAATATTTTTTTGGTATTCAAAAAACAAACTATGAAAGAAAGTCATTAACTAAATTGAGTATAAACAATGTATTGTCTGAAAGTTATACTACAATTTCTCAATATGTATCTGATTTTTACAGTAACCTTTATAAGTAAGATATCTGCATGGACAGTACATCGGTCCTCCATTCATTGAAAGATGTAAAAAAAGCAAACAAGACTTTTAAAGAAGATTGTGATGAATCCTTGTCTGTAGAAGAAATAAGAAGTGCAATCAAAAATTTAAAACCAAATAAGTAGCCAGGTAATGATGGGCTAACTTCAGAATTTTATCATCTATTTTCACATGAGATTTCTGAATTTCTTCTTGCAGTTTACAATGAGTCTATTAACAATGAAGAGTTACCTACTTCAATGAAACAAGGTCTCATAACTTTAATACCAAAGCCACATAAAGACCCATTGATTATTGATAATTGGCGAGGTATTACATTACTCAATAATGACTATAACATTTTAGCATCCCTGTTGGCTAAAAGCTTAAAATGTGGCTTAAACGATATTATTCATGAGTCTCAAAACGGATTAATGCCTGGGAGGCAAATAGCAGATAACATATGATTAGTTTTAGATCTAGTTCACTATAGGGACTTATTGCCAGGTGATCCTTTGATTCTTTTTTTAGATTACCAAAAGGCTTTTGACACTGTAAGTCATACATTTATTTTTGATACATTACATTTTCTAAATTTTGGAAATTTCTTCATCAAAGCTCTTAAGACTCTTTATCGGAACAACAACAGTGCTGTGAAATTGCTCTTTGGTACATCTTACAGATTTGATATCAACAAAGGTGTAAGACAAGGTTGTCCAGTTTCACCATATATTTTTTTACTTGTGGGACAGATTTTGAATTATTTGATTCGACAAAGTTCCTTTCAAGGGATTAAGGTTTTTGAGCAAGAAATTAAAATATCTCAATTAGCCGATGATACAACTATATTTCTTAAAAATGCTGAAGAAGTCCAATCAGCCTTGTCCACAATATCCACATTTTCAAACATTTCTGGGCTGAAACTTAATTTAAAAAAATGTGACATTCTAACTCTATATAATACTAATCTTAGAGATATCTGCAACATCCCTGTGAAGGATACGGTGACTTATTTAGGCATAAAAATATCTAAGGAGAGTAGAAATATGACAGAAAATGTTTTGTCTGTTATGGATGCTATAAAGAAGAAATTTAATAGCTGGTTGGGAAGAGATCTTTCTATTAATGGTCGAGTTTTGTTAAGCAAGGCAGAAGGAATGTCCAGAGCCTCTTACATA